TGTGTTATGTTTATCATAGGCATCCACTTTTATGCTGTTCTTTAGCAAATATAAAGGGGGATCTTTATTAAAACTGGAAAATGCAAAATCTGGTGAAGCTCTGCATAGAAACCAATTAGCTTCCAGGTTTTATTGTCAAAGCTTAAAGTACAATTCTGGGAATTGTTTTTTTTTTTTCCTGTGCTGGCACTGTACAGGTTACCTGCTTTATTTTTTATTTTATTTATTAGAGGTACTTATATAGCTCCATCAATTTACACAGCACCATGCATATATATTGTACATTCATATCAGTCTCTAACCCTCAAGGGGTGTACAATCTAAAGTCCCTAACTTACAATCATACATACATACTAGGGCCAATTTAGAGAGGATCCAATTAACCTACTAGCATGTCTTTGGAGTGTGCAAGGAAACCAGAGTATCTGGAAGAAACCCACACAAACAGAACATAGCATATTCATCTGACTGGTCCTTCGGCTCGTGCCCCCCCCCCCCCCCTTCCTCCTCCATGGTCCAACAGTCTTGTAAATGGACTGTTCCTAACATCAACATGCTCAATGCACGGTCCATAGACAGGAACAGTCCACAGGTGGACTGTGGGGGAGCATGGTTTTCCATGGAATTGGCGGGTCAGGTGAGTATGTGCTTTGTCCTTACCCCTAGAAAAAACGAGCAGCTGATCCATGCAGTGGGAGCACAGCCCCACTGCGTGGTAAGAAAAGAAATTTTGAGTTCTGCTTTAATTGAGTAAGCTGAAGTTAAAAAGCTGATTGGCTACCATGCACAGCTGCAAAATTTGAGTGTTCCAGTTTTAGCAAATTTCCCCCATAGAATTTTGACAAAGTCTGTGGAGGTTAACATCTTTTCAACATGTGTCTAAGTGATCTATTTTTTCCATTAAACCTCAGAGCTTGGATATTTTAGAATGATCTGTATTCAATTCTATAGCTTTAGCGCTACTGTATGGCTTATTATCAAAGTAATCCTGTCTAATACCTGGAATTTTGAGCTTTGTAACAGCTGCCCGATACACTGGCTGACTTTTTCCTTCGAGATTCATTGAAGGCAGGGACACCACATGTACAGATTCAGATGCTGCAAGAGAAGAATAAAAGAACTTTCATTGTGTAATTATAGCTCACAGCTGGATCAATATTTCTAAATTTGGCTTTGAAACAATCTATTTTATCTATTATAATATAATATTTCAGAATGAATTAGCTCTAATCAAAGCAATAGAGGCTGTTTTTTGTTCATTCTAATGGACCCGCAATCTCTGTTATCTTACAGATTTTCTTACAGGTTCAGTAACATTTAGCAGCTACCAGATGCAAAACAGCAACAACATCTGTCTTCAATGGAAGGTTTGAAGCTGTCTATTTGTAATGCATTTTAGCATGAAAAAAGAAATACTGATGTACAAATTATAGAGTCCCGTGCATAAAAAACAGCTTTGCATATTGTATACAGTATTTTTTCAAGCAATATCATCAGCTGCTTGTCTCAATGCATTAATAGCAGGTAAACTAATCAGTTTTTCTTCTTGTAAATATCAATCAAATTATTATGATTGTGCATTATTTGAACTGGTAAAAAAGGCTGTTTTTAGATAAATCAGGGTTCTAGACAAGAAGCATATTGGAGCCCTCTTGGCTGGCATACTGCTATCTGACACCACCTACTTCAATGGGTAGAGAATATTCTATTCTTTTGTGTCTTTATACCTTTATGATTTAAATCAGCTGTTAAGCAGACATTTTTCAAGAGTTCACAGAGTTCAGTTTGGCAGAAAAGTGGTGAAGGGGCATCGGAATAATAAAAATGCATATTATACCTTTTATTAATTTAGAGGTCATATCAATAAGGAATTAATCAGGGGTCCCCAAACATTTAAAATAAAGGGCCAGTTCACTGTCCATCACACAGTTTTGGTTCAGACCATGGAGTAAATGCTTCTGCATCAGTAGCATTACAAAAGACAGCCTGTCGGCAAGGTGTCCGTGGTGAGCGGGGCTCGTGCATTCCTCTTGTCCTTTCGTTTTTATACCAGTGGCGGGTGGACACTTGACTTGTGAGTGGAATGAAATTTTAAATAAATGTTAACGGTTTTAACTTGCTGCACCATCATGCCTTTCCTTTATTTCTGAGTGGTATTGCCATATACTTGGAGGATGATCGATATATAAAGGGTCCTGGCCATACTACAGAGTGGTTGCAGAGTATTGCTCCTGGTATCTGGATGATGTCAAACCACAGAGTATTGCTTCATGATCTGGATTCACTCATCGCTCCCAGAGCAAATACGCTAGTGCTGATTTATAATTTGATCAGCATTGAGCTCTGGTAAATTTATTCCATTCATCTGGTGGTGGATTAAGCACGGTGTTATAATACGATTAAGAAGATTACTTTGGGGTGTTAGACTTTTCACACTAATATTCTACGGATTGTTTCACTGTGGAATTTTGTATATGTTGAATTTATGGTGTTTGGACTTTTTTGCACAGTATATGGATTTTCTTATATTTTTTTAGCGCATTCAGATTTTGATTTATGTTTTACATCAAATTTGGGTTAGAGGTTTGCTGCTTTATAATACTAATATTATTTATTGATTGGCGCTTTCTTTTTTGTGAGATTAATGGAAGTGTGGTAGATTCCTATGATGTGTGCCTATGGGGCGAAGTAAATTCAATTTATGGAGTAATAGTAATATTCAAGATATGTGTGTCTAGGGACGACACGAGGGACTGGTGAAAAATGGGACATGTTCTGCATTCCCTTCTTGTAATACTAATGAAGGGAGGGGTCATGACTATGGTGTCCATTGATTCCTGGCATGAGGTGGATAAGGCCATAGAAAGCCATAAAAACCAAAGTGTGGCTTGTGGTTGCCAACCTGCCCTCTAGGGGACGAGCTCCCTGTCAAAGTAACCCTACATTACACACCAACAAACGCACATTCTGCACATTACATACAGTCTTTATACACTAAAATACTTACAATTCGCAGATTACAAACATACAGTATACACAATCTTCACATTACACACAAACATATACCCAAAAAAACACACAATCTAGTGAGAGTACTGGATTTCAGAAAATTTGTGCTAGCCAATAATGCAGTTTTTCATTCAGATGTACTTACAGGATCTTCCTATGGCTTAAAACACGTTCTTCTACCTGGCCTCATACATCAAGAAGTGCAATTAGCAATACAGGAATACAAGTATCATACTTGAAGAGTTGTTACTATATGACAATGTTCACAATTGTATGTACTTTTCCTTACCTCTGTGTTTATTTTCTTCACTTCGAACCATGGGCCTGAGAGCAGCATGGTTAACTCTTCTTGTACTTTCTGCAGGGTTAGAAACTTGGCCTCGAAATCTGCGAACAGTTCTCATTCCAGCAAACTGGGGAAGGGGAGACCTACCATCAGGACGTCTGGGGTGCAGTCTAAACAATCTCCTCGGAGGCTTCTTTTCTTAAAGGAGTACAAAGAAAAATGAAATTGTTATTTTTTTAATCATACAGTCAGTGTACATAATACATAGCCACTAGATATATATTTAGAATTATGTTGTTAAAAAAAACACAATATAAGTGAAAAAGCCTCACTGTCACTGTCCTAAAGGCATAACAGTGCTAATGCACAAATATACCTGCCATGGCTACTGTCAATGTGTGTACATGGTTTTATACACTGCTATCTCTGAACAGACTTCTATTGATGACTACCCATACAGGTTTTTTTTTTACTCATGCAGGTTTGTTGACCCTTGGTGTGCTTGGTGCACACGTATTTCATGACTTAGCAAGTCACATCCTTGTATGTTTTGCTAGATAGATTCAACTACAATTCAGGGAAACGGCCATTCATGTGCGTCATAATGATTTATCCCTGCTTTCGTTCAAGTACAGTAGTCAATAAGGCCCATTGTGTTTGATCCTCTGGGTCCACATGTCATTGATTAGAAAACAAAAAATCTGAATCCAAAACCTTTTTTCTTTTTTTTTTGTTTTAGATAGAGTAGGGAATGATTAAATCCCTGATGGTCTTTTGGTCTTTCACAACTAAAAGTGAAAGGATTTTTTTCATAGCAAGGGACATTTCCTTTGGGCAATTGTCTTTGGAACAAGTGTCCCAGTTTTCCTCTATATTATTGTTCTAGCAACAATTAAAAATTTAGAATTTTCCTTTACTTTTAGTGCCCGCTCACATTATTATTATTATTATTATTATACAGTATTTATAAAGCGCCAATGGTTCGCTCAGCACTGTACATTACAAAGGGGGACGGAACATGTGACAGAACAATAACAATACAATGCAAAACATGAGGGGATCGAGGGCCCTGCTCTTTCAAGCTTACAATCTAGGAGTTTCCAACTTACAATCTAGATATATACAGATATATACGTATATACAGATACGGTTTGAACCACATTCAATCCGCATGACATGTGAAATATTGTTGCTTCCTTTGGTGCCTGTTATGTCTGATGCATGCCTGTGCAGATTCAGTGTGGTTTTAAAAAGAGTCATGTCCAATTTCTGAGCAGTGGCTTCAGGTTTACATGCGGATTTCAGGCTATTGACTTCTATGGCAACCGTTCCGAAACCGCATACTGTATGTGTGAACAGGATAAGATGCTGAGCTAATCCTGTCCTGAACCTGATGTAAATCTGATGTGAACCTGTGAACAGCTACTGTATCATTAGCTGTGAAACCTGAGATTCAATCTGCACCGCATATATGTGAATCAGCTCTAAGACTCCATTACAATGATCACTAGAACAAATAAGGAGGGTAAGGTTCTAACCTCTCACCAGACTTTCTCACCAAATATATTTTGCCTTTAGTTGCATTTTAACCAGTTAGGGACCGACTACCACAAATATACAGCGACAGAGGTCCCCTCTGCACCAGATCAGTACATGTACGTGATCCGGCTCTTCCGGCTGTTCTGTAATTCTCTACAGCACAAACCAATCAGGCTTAGCACCAGGGGCAGACTGACAATTCATGGGGCCCCCGGGCAATAGGGGATCCTGGGTCCCCTGTGTCCTTGCCCAAACTAAAAAAAGCCTATGAAAAAGGTACCAGGGGCATCTCATGGGGCCCCCTACTGACCCCGGGCCCTCGGGCAGTGCCCAAGTTTCCAAATGGTCAGTCCGCCCTGATTAGCACTGATCACTATACTAGTGTCACTGGACATGTCAGTGTCATTTAGTTGGTTCCTACCCAGTGTTAGTTAGCATCAGATTGCCCGCTGCACTATCAGGCCTCATTCACGCCATACGTGCAGAAAAATTGATGGAAACTGACGCACAGATTTTACTTGCAGAGACACCAGTTTACTTGTGCACTTCAATGAGTTTTATACACTTTGCAGATTCTCATGCAGAAAAATCTGCATGTAATATAAGTGTTGTGGTGTGAACAGGGCATATAGAGAACAAATGATTTTGTTGTGCCCTTGCAGAACGCATTCAGAAAAATTTACATCTCTGTATCATGGTGTGAAGAAGACCTTACAGTCTCACTATAAGTCACTGATCACCTCCATTACTAGTATAGAAGAAAAAAAATAAATAAAAATTCCAGTATATATACCATCGTTTGTAGATGCTATGACTTTTACACGAACCAATTAATATACACTTTTTTTTTTTTTTTTTTTTTGAGCAAGGACATTTTGGCCCAAATTTATGAAGAAGTTTTTTTTTTTTTTTTTTTTTTTTATTGGAAATGTTTTATAGCAGAAAGCAAAAAGTATTGTTTTTTTTCAATTTTTTTTTTTCATTTATATAATAAATAAATAAATACCACCAAAAGAAAGCTCTATTTTTATGAAAAAAAATGATATAAATGGGGTACAGCGTTGCCTGACCGCATATTTACCAGTTAAAGTAACAGTGGTTAAACTTCACAAATGTTATAGTAGTATTGAACTCTCACCTTTTTTTTTAACACTGATACTGTATATTCAGAGCAACCAAATTAACATTGCCCGGAGTATTTCTCTATATATGTGCTGAAGCACTTACAGTTTGTAAATTTCAAACCTGCTGGCTGCAGATCGCTCAGTGCTCCTTCCCTGATTTTCTAGTGGGGAAGCACCTGCACTGGGTGCATCACATGAAGTTCTCATGAAACAGGTCACAATGGAAAGCACAGTCTCAAGCTGCTGCCAATCAAGTTATTCGCTTGGAGGAGGGGGACCAGGGAAGTGCCTTGCTGTCCTAGATTTCAGGTCTGTCCATGTTGCTGCACACAGTGTAGAGACATTCAGTTTCATAGCACCCTGCAAGGCAATATAGCCCCCAGGAACCAGAGATCTGGACAGCCATCTTGGGACTGGCTGGATTTGAAGGAAAAGAAGTGTTTAAAAAGAAGAAGCAGCAGACAAAGTGCTGTGGTCAGCAGCTATAACATTTTAAAGTTCACTTTAAATTTATTTTAACATAACTTGGAAAAGAAGACTTAAAACCCAATCTCATGATTGGCCTACCCTGGGCTAATCAGGTTCATTTGGATCATAAAATACTTTGCTGCCGTACGTCTCTTACTTTAACAAGTCATTGACTATCATAATGTTCTTTGTCATCTCAAAGTCTTTACCATAACATTCCTCTACATTGTGACAGCTTGTGAACTTTGCCACTTCAGTATCACAGTATCAGCAGTCTTTCTTAAAGAGTAAATCCATATCTTTTGAGGAAAAAAAATTCCCCTCTGGGTGATCTATGTACATTGCAGGGATTTTAAAAAAAAAACTGTATTGCAGATTTCTACCTTTTGTTATAATAAAGAAATAGCTGTGTACAGTATGTGTGTCTATGTGGAAAATGAATGTGAATGGGAGTGATTTTATAATTATCAATCAGCTGCTGCACTTGCAGGGTTCTAATGAGGAAAGTTGCAGGGTCTGCATTCCTTTAGATGTGATTTCCATTTGGGAATATCTCACCAAAAATGGCATTTCTGTTGTAGGGGATGCTCATTTGTATCTTGCTGCATACTTCTGGGAAAATCCATAAGCCAATCACACAAGCAGGAAATTACATTTCTGAGGGGTGCTCTGTACACCATCTGCCTACAGAATGCCTCCAGGTTGCCACATTGCTCTGCATTTTACAGAAAATTACAACATTACAGCACTACAGATTGGAAGGAAAGGTACTTTTTTTAAATATTCATTTACAATATGACTTGCGCCACCATTGCATATTTTATATTTATATTCATATATATATATATATATATATATATATATATATATACACGCTATATTGCCAAAAGTATTAGGACACCTGGCTTTACACGCACATGAACTTTAATGGCATCCCAGTCTTAGTCCGAAGGGTTCAATATTGAGTTGGCCCACCCTTTGCAGCTATAACAGCTTCAACTCTTCTGGGAAGGCTGTCCACAAGGTTTAGGCGTGTGTCTATGGGAATGTTTGACCATTGTTAGAGAAGTGCATTTGTGAGGTCAGGCACTGATGTCAGACAAGAAGGCCTGGCTCACAGTCTCCGCTCTAATTCATCCCAAAGGTGTTATGTGTAGGCAAGTTCCTCCACCTCAAACTCTCTCATTCATGCACTGGTGCGCAGTCATGTTGGAACAAGAAGGGGCCATCCTCAAACTGTTCCCATAAAGTTGGGATCATAAAATTGTCCAAAATGCCTTGGTGATGCCTTAAGAGTTCCCTTCACTGGAACTAAGGGGCCAAGCCCAACCCCTGAAAAACAACCCCACACCATAATCCCCCCTCCACCAAACTTTACACTTGGCACAATGCAGTCAGGCAAGTACCTTTCTCCTGCCAAACTCAGACACATCTATTGTATTGCCAGACAGAGAATGATGATTCGTCACTTCAGAGAACACATCTCCACTGCTCTAGAGTCCAATGGCAGCGTGCTTTAGTTTACACCACTGCATCCAACGCTTTGCATTGCACTTGGTGATGTAAGGCTTGGATGCAGCTGCTCGGCCGTGGAAACCCATTCCATGAAGCTCTCTACGCACTGTTGTTGTGCTAATTTGAAGGCCACACGAAGTTTGGAGGTCTTTAGCTATTGACTCTGCAGACAGTTAGCGGCGTCTGCGCACTGTGCGCTTCAGCATGCGTTGGCCCCGCTCTGTCATTTTACATGGCCTACCACTTCGTGGCTGATTTGATGTTGTTCCCAGTTGCTTCTACTTTGTTATAATACCACTAACAGTTGACCGCGAATTATTTAGTATCAAGGATATTTCACTGACTTATTGTACAGGAGGTATCCTATCACGGTACCACGCTTGAATTCACTGAGCTCCTTAGAGCAACCCGTTTTTTCACAAATGTTTGTAGAAGCAGTCTGCATGCCTAGGTATATATATATATATATACATACACAGGTGTACCTCAGTTTAGGAACGCCTCGGTTAACGTAATTTTCGGTTTACGAATGAAAATCCATTGAAAATAATGTTTCGGTTTACAAATTTTTTTCGCAACAGAAGTTTTCCCAGGATGCGTTGTGCCTGGGAGGTTTATAGCGCCGACCCCGTGCTGCCCCGTGCCTTTAAAGTGCACTTTATAAAGAGTTTTGAACAGATAAGACCTTTTTTTACTTTTTTCTGAGCTGCGGAATGGATTAATTGGTTTTCAATGCATTTACAAATTTTTTTTAATCATGTCCCTGTACAGTATTTATGCCTTTAAAGAGCACTTTATAAAGAGTTTTTGAACAGATAAAACTTTTTTTTACTTTTTTCTGACCTCCGGAATGGATTAATTAGTTTTCAATGCATACCTATGGGAAACTGTTTCGGTTAAGAATTTTTTGCAATAGAAAATGCATTCAATTCGTAAACCGAGGTACGCCTGTATATATTTTATTATTGTAAGCTCGAAAGAGCAGGGCCCTCGAACCCCTCGTGTATTGTATTGTTTCTGTCTTGTCTCATGTTCTGTCCCCCTTGCTATTGTACAGTGCTGAGCAAACCCTTTGGCGCTATATAAATACTATATAATAATAATAATTATTCTTTTTCCCTGGTTATATATTTCTGGTCACTTTTGTGCTATACACAAAAGGAGTCGGTAAGGGACTATTGCCCCCAAAATGACTGGAACTTAGAGCAGACAACAATGTTAGAGTTTTAAATGCCATATGACTAGACTGCAATTATTAAAGGATTTTTTTTACTGAAAACAAATAATAAGACATAGAAAAAGTCATGCTATTTAATAACAAATATTCCTCCAATGGTTTTTGTGGTCTAGTTAGGAAAGTTCACCATCCTAACTTCAGACTCCAGGACATTAGAGTTTTGCGTCAGTTCCAAGAAGCCCTAACACATTGCAAGTCAGCATTTTAACCTTAAGCCACAAGTTGGATCCAACAAATATCGGCTTCTGCCAATGTGAAAAATTAATGTTTTCTTTGCTACCTCAAAAGAAATGAAAATACCACATTTATATTATATTTGAAATGCTTTCAGCCCTAAGGCATTTGAAAGAAATACAAAAGCATTGCAGAATGCTTTGCTTTGTCCACGTTTATTCTACCAGTTCTTCATAAGCTAAGGCCAGTATGAAAACACTAAGCTACCAACCACATAGATATAATATTGTGGGGATTTGAAAGTAAGTCTGAACATGCCTTTGTCCAGTATAGTCTTAACGCCAAGCTGCATTCCTTCACAGATGGGTAAATGCCATTCATATGCTTGGGTGGATAAAAATCACACACTTTCTGTTTTTTAACATCTTGTGTTTCAGGTGCTACAGCATAAAGAATTTGGAAGATTTATGAGATTTGTGATGGTTTTCAGAATTATCCAGGTTATTTGCTTTTTTCATTGTCCTTTGCACAGCTGTTTTAACTAGACGAACTATATGGAAATACAATATGTGGAATATCTACCAATTCATGCTATGCAAGGCAGCACTTTTCATGCTATTCCTAGTCTCTGAATACTTTGCCATGTAAATACCTTCCTGCTGCAAATAGTGTGCCTGTAAACCCAATACTAATGTCAAACAATGTGTAATCTCATGTGCTCTTTTTAAGCTGGCGAAGTACTGTAAATACAGTTGGCGAGTGGGAGTGTTCACTAAAGTTAAAAAAATCTTGACATCATTTCTGCTGATCGTGAAATGGATCAACAAAAAAATGCATCAATTATGTTGTT